GAGGCATGCACCCCACGCTCGCAGCAGAGCACACGCTCCCCAGCTAACACATGGGCAGCGTAGCACATGTTCGCCTGCCCTCTGATCTGGCCTGGCTGTTTGCACTATTTTTTCAGCATCCCTGAGCCCTGCAGTCATGGAGGAAAACCAAAAAGAAGGCTGAGCCCCTTTCCTGCTGCTGTGCTGGGGTCCTGGTTTTAATAAAGGGCTTGTATGCTGCTCCAGTCCTTCCAAAAGGCACTAAGCCTGGGGCCTGCTCAGAGCTGGCCAGAATAACCCTGATGGTTTGAGGGTTTTTTTTCCTTTTTCTCCTCTTTCTTGAATCGGTTCTGCCTGGTGAGGCTGGACTGTGGACCTGTGGCACAGAATAATTCAAAGATGTGGCCACAGCCATACTGTGGCACCCAGTATGTGGCATGGGACTTTACTACCAACTCATCCTCAACAGCAGCCGGTCAAGAATTCCCCCTGGTGCTTCAGGATGCCGCTAGCTGACCTGCACGGACACGACTCTCCTCCACCACTGGAGGAACCACCGGGACAGGTCCACTGCAATGCCAGGGCATGGACCCACCATCAAGTTTCTGCTCCAGCACCAGTCATGTTGGGCAACCCCCAGCAGTTTAGCTACAAGATCAGTGAAGACGGTTGCTGGTGAAGGGCAAGTTTATAGGCAATGACAAGCTGTGAATCACAGGAAAATCCGCAGGAAGCAGATGCTTGAAACTTCTGGTCCATTAGGCTCCAAGCCCAATGCACCTCTCCACACATTACAGGCTATTTTGGGAGTGTTAACAGTGGGCAAAATTTCAGATTTTGCATGGGACTTGTTCTGCTCCTGCCATGAAAAGCAGCGGTCATTTTCCTAGACTGAGAGTCCCCTGCCATGAGCGGCTTGGAAAAGGGAATAGCCACTGGGCAGGGAAAGGAAGCCGCCTTTTTTTTTTCTTTGGGTGAGCTGGCACCACATCGGATGCATGCCAAAGCAAACCAACCCACAGGCTCCCAGCCGCAGCGGCACGTCCCTGCTTGCAGGGCGGCGGGGAGATGCAGCCCTCCCTTGCCTGGCCCAGTGCTGCACCCCACGCTTCCCCAGCTCCAGCCCATCTCTGTGCTTTGCTGGGAAGTTGGGGAGCACCCCTGTCCAGGTATGCAAACAGCCCTGGGTGCTGCAACACCCCGCCAACTCAAAGGCACTGCCAGCTAGCTTTAGCTGTTATATATTCAAATCTGTCCTTCTGTAGGATTTTACCTGTATTTTAACTACCCCATCCTAAGCCGTGAGCTGTTTTTTTGTGCAGTTCTCCAACAGAGCAGTTCTGCTGAATACACTCTTCTGGAGCAGCTATAAATGATTGCACCCTGCTAGTGCACACTGGGACACCCATGAAAAGCAGACCTTCCCAGGGGGTTGGACCTTCCCAGCCCTCTTTTTATGTCTCATTTTTGCGCACAGACTCAAACCACCTTTGCTTTTGGCTCCTGTGCTAAGATGAAATTAGCTGTTGTCTACAGGCATGATAGCAATTGTCTTACCTTTCAGGCTGTCTGGCATAAACCAGACATGAGCCCTTCCTTTAAGAAGTGTTTCTGAGCAGGTCTTCAGCTCTGGTGTAATTCAGCCCTGGGAGCTCATAAAAGCCATGTCTGTGCTTTCATTGAGGCACTAATTGCTTCCATGTTACAACCTCCTGCATGCTGAGGTTTAGCATCTGTCAGGAGCCCCATTTTTGATCCTAGCTGAGGCTGTTGCTAGCTGGCTGCTGCTCTCGTGGCACAGCGCAGCTTTTGCAAAAGCCCTTCAACACCCGCACAAATCAAACCCCTGTGCCAGCCCAGCTCACCACTTGCCCGTCTGGGCTGGACACAAAAGGACACTGGGCATGGGAGTCATGCACGGGAGGGGGTTCCTTGCACATCCCCATGTCGGCAGCAAGCTTTTTCTCCTGGGTACGGCTCTGGCACCCCTGAACCCATGTGCAGCCCACCCGTCTTTGTGAAATGCCTTTTTTTTTTTTTCTTTTTTTCAAAACCAGGGGACCTGATACACCAATCGCTTGCCTTGGCTGCAATTTTTCACGTCCAGCCCCTGGGCTGAGGACCACCGCTGTAACAGAGGCAGGTCTTTCTGCATGCAGAGCTGTTTGCCTTTCATGTTGTGTCTTTCCCAGACTTAGAGCGGCAGAGGAATGTTACAGGGGATGCCTGGTTTGGATTTGTCAAGCTAGTTTGAACAGACCACAGCCAGACCCTTTTCCTGCCTCCCACTTCAGCTGAGCGCGCTTGTGCCTTTTTCCACGCCTGCTTTCCTAGGGCTGCGCCGCATAACACCCCCCCCAGAAAAAATGAGGAGGTGCAAGCAGAAGAGGCGCTTTCCACTGTCTTCTCCCACACCCCCTGTTAAATCAAGTGTGTTACAAACAGGAGACAGGTTCTCCTCAAGGCACAAAACCTTGTCCGTGTGTGTGACAGCGTAAGTAAAAACTGATGCCTGCGGTTAGCTCTGGCTGGAAATGTCAGTGTAGGCAGCAAGATGGGGCTAGTGCCGGGTTTCTGCAGGCTGGCCCTGTTGAGCTGTCTAAATGTAGCTGCAGTGCAGTCAAGAGGCATCTTTCGGCATCATCTAAACTAAAGCAACTTCTCCAGCCCGGGCTGCACACCCACAAAGGAGCACACAGAGACAGCAGTGGGAGGGGGGAGCCCAAATAATGCCCTGCCAGGCTACTCCCAGGCCCGTCATCAGGGCCGTCAACCCATCAAAGGCCCACCCGCACAAGCCTAGAGCCGCACAGGGGCACAACAGCGGACAGGAACCCAGGACTCCTGAGGAATGAACACCCCGTCCGGGTCCGGGCCCCTTTCAGGGCTGTGCTTGCAGAGCTGTCAGCCCCTCTGCCCAGGAGCAAACCCATCACCCTAAGTCTCTGTCTTGGGGGGGGGGTCTCATCAATGTTTACAAACACCTGAAGGGAGGGTGCAAAGAGGACGGAGCCAGGCTCTTTTCAGTGGTGCCCAGTGACAGGACCAGAGGCAATGGGCATAGCCTGAAACACAGGAGGTTCCCTCTGAGCATCAGGAAACACTTTTTTACTGTGAGGGTGACCGAGCACTGGCGTAGGCGTTGCACAGGGCACTTGTGGAGTCACCATCCTTGGAGATGGTCAAAAACCACCTGGACAGTCCTGGGCAGCCTGGTCTAGGTGGCCCTGCTTGAGCAGGGGGGGTTGGACCAGAGGACCTCCAGAGTTCCCTTCAACCTCAACCATGCTGTGAGTCTGTGCGTCACGGAGCTCTCCAAGTCACCTTTTGGGCTCAGGGGGATTGCTGTCTAGGGGCGTGGGACACATCAGGGGACGCAGGGGAAGAACATTTTGGGATTGCACAGGACTTATTATGGTATGTTCAGGGGAGGAATCAAAGGTGGAAAAAGGGAGGGGTTTAGGTGATTTGGGGAACAAGTGTGGGAAATTGAGGCGTAAGGGGATAAAGAGGGCTAGTTGTGTGTAAATAGTTGGCTAGTCAGTATGCATACAGACAGGCACACCCTGCACCTGATCAGCACAATCTGTCCTGTAATTAAATTCCTTTCTAACTTTCCTGGGTGAGGGCTCTGCATTCTGTGTCCATGTGTGCATATGGGGACGTGACAGCAGCAAATGGAGTCAGACTGTGGATCAGAGGAGCAGCAACTGAAGTGGGGAGCAGGGTGCAATTGCTAGTGAAGAACAAGCTGGACAGCAGGTGAAGTGACCTGGGAGAAAAGGGCTGTGGGGGGTCTCTAAGGGCCAGCTCAGGGTGTCAGAGCACCTGGATGTCTCTAGGAACAACAGCACAAGGCCATGGGACCAGGGGAGGCCTGGCCAAGTTGCGTGTCTGTGAGTGAGACTGTACCAGTAACTGGAGTGGGGCTGCAGCCTCAGGGGCTCACATCTCCAGGTGCCAGCAACTGGGAGAATGACATCCAGGGACCAGCAGTTACAGGGCAGACTGAGGGTCTGAGCCCAGCAGCTGGAGGGATCCATCATCTATGTGTGTGTGTGTCTGTGATCTGTGTGGCCAGATGTGTATGTATACAGTGTGTACGTGTGCTCCGCACCTACTGGCAATACATCTTCAGCCTTGCTAGTGGCTGGACTTGGCAGGATGGAGATGGAGCAGCCTCGCCTCTCTTCAGCTGTCAGATCTAGCATGATACACATTCCTCTAATGCTGGCTTTCCTGCTGGAGCTTTTGTGTAGTTAGCAGGATGCTTATGCCCACACAAGAGTGCTTTGTCAGCAATTTGAAAAGGATACAAAGAAGTACACGTCTTTGAAAAGTTTTATTCTATACCCTGTTTCAGAAAACTTCACGCAACTACAGAAACCAAAATCAAAGCTGTGAGTTGGAAAAGTTTCCTCTTCAGGCATATGAGCAGCCTACTTTTCATTAATTCACCTTTCCTGTGTCCAAAAGCAGGGTGTTGCACTCCCTCATCTCCCACAGATGTTGAAGGACTGAAAAGACCTCATTTTGGTCGATGTTGCTGAATTACTATCAGCCACTAGAAGGGTCATAACCATGCTGGAGCATTTCCCGCTCCTCCCACCTTCTTCAACTGTGGAAACACCATAAAGCCTCCAAGAACAAGGTGATAGTTTCTGACCTGCAGGAGCACATCCACAAGAGAAGACCTACTCCGTGAGCAGCAAAGCCAGTCCAGGGCAGGCAGGTGAGTTTCCACCCCGTATTTCAAGAGGGAACAGGTAAAGGGATTTGCTCATAGATACTGGCAGGTCCCAGGGAGAAGCTGTCTCACCTCTCATAGCAAGGTACCAGCCACTCGGCTCATTCAAAATGGCTGCAGTTCAGTAACTGGATCAGGCATGGACTTGTGGAGCCCCAAACCAGGCGCTTTACTTCCCCTCAGGCCTGCTTTCAAAAAATGTGCCTGTTTGCCTTTAAAAAGGAGTCCAAGCTTTCCTGAATATCAATAAGCAACAAGGTTCTCCAGAGGCTGTTCTGTCTTCTACCTTTCTCAGATGATGAGAAGTGCTATTTCCTCCCCGTGGTTTTCAGGTTTTCCACCAGGGAAGGGGGCTTTTTGGTCCTATAAGCAGCACTGCCTTGGATCCGGGCCCCTCTGATGGTACTGATGTACGGCAAAAGGGGAGGCTCTCGCACCACCAATGCGGTGCCCTTGGGAGTATAAGCTCGGAGCAGCAGTTTCTCTTCTGCATGAGCCGTCACTGCCACCCAGCCTGCACAGCCAAAAAAATACAGACAGTCAGCAAGACAAGTGACTAGTATCAGAATGACGGTTCTGACACAAACTCACCTGTGTTGGCTAAGAACCTGAGCTACCCAAGTGTGATATTTTTGAGAAACCAAGCTCAAAGGTAATATCCAGCCCTTTCCCAATATAAGGCAGCACCTAAAGCCACATCTTATGCTCCCCAGATATAGCTCTTTCCTGGTGAACTTAAGAGGGATGGTGGGAACTACCAAAAATGCAATCATAAAGCCTTCCAGTCCTCGGCCCTTTCCCTCTCACCTGGACAGTGGCCAGTGTCACAGCCATTCCTGATGCTGTGGAACTTGTATGGCAGCCAGAGCATAAAGTATTCCAATGTGGTCATCCTGTACAAGCATGGCTGTCAGTCTCCATTCTTAGAGGTTGCCAAGCTTCAGCTGGACAAAGTCATGGCTGCCCTGATTTTGTACTGGTGACAGTCCTGCTCTGAGCAGGAAAGAGGGCTTTAGCCCTTCAGAGGCCTCTTTCCATCAATGTTTTAGGATGCAGACCCTGAAAAGCAAACTGATGAAGAAATACTAAATTACCTGCAGAGGAAAGCTTGATATCTGCGACTGCCTCAGTGGTACTGATTCCTTTCAGTGTAATGTCCTGAGGGACAAGCGGGGGGAACTCTTTCATTCGCTCTTCCCCACCCATGGGAACCTAACATCAAAACACGGAGAAAAGATTTAACAGCCAAGAGATGCTTTAGCACTCCTACCTTAAACTGGCCAGCAAGGCACAAGGGGGAATAACGATATTAGACTGTTGTTATCCAAGTAAGAGCTGGCTTGAATACCCTACAGGAGTTATTTCAGGTTTGCCAACAGAATCGGGGTCACATCCAGAGCAACCCAGTGGATGCTCAGAGGTGAGCGAGATGGAGTTCCCACTGCAGGATGCAGCTGGTGGCTCAAGCCAGCTGCCTTGATGTGAGTGACAGCACTTGTTCTCAATGTGCGCAGGAAGGGAGCTGCCAGGACAAGGAGAGCTCACCCCGTCCCCCATCAATCTACATGTGCTACACAGTATGTGGCAATACCAAGGAAAAAGTCAGACCACCAAAATATGCAGCGATGTGCAGAGGATCCAGCAGGGAAAGAATAAGAAAAGTACATTTTTCAACTGCAATCTGTTCTGAAAGTTGCAACCAGTCTGGTTTGCCATGGAATGTATCCCCATTGCTGCCTGCACTTTAAGGCTGTTCAAGAAATGCATCATCTCATGTGCTCTCTCCTAGCACAGCTGCAGATATGCAGTCTGTGCAAGACTGTTCCACACTGCAAATCTCCACTTTCCCACTGCAGAAGTCCCAAACTCCTGACATGTGCTGGTCTTCCCCATCAATTGTGCCCCAGACAGTGTGCTTCACCAGGCAGGATGGCCTGTCTATCTGCATCTGACAGCACCTCCTCTTACCTTTAGTAACTCTTGGCCAGCATGCTTCTCGTAGATGGCATCTGCATTACTCAGGGTAGAAATGTGGACTGGCAACAGGTTAGAAGCCACGACAGAAAACCAGGCAGGCTTTTCTCCCTGAAATAAATAACAAGAGGAGGATGTTACTTATGATAACAGAAAAGCAGCCCTGAATTGTTCTCTCCTGCTTCGTTTCTTTGCTGCTTGTTGAAAACCTGTTTGACTGATGTCCCCTCCTTGTCCAAGGAGGGGTCCTTGCCTCTGCCACTGCAGAGCAGCCAAGGTTTATATAAACAGGGGAGCTGAGCTTCTAGGAGAGAAGCACCCATGGCTTCACCATCCTGCCTCAAGGCACCCCCAATACCATATCCCCTGCCATCACATCTGCTCAGCTCAGGCAAATCATCCAAGAGATATCTTTGCACAAGTTTAATTCCCAAGACCAAACTCAGTGTGGTTATTTAGCATGAGAGGTGATGGACATCTGTCTGGTGCTTCTTCTCCTACCACTTTACATTTCTAACATGCATCTCTCATCGAAGCATACTTGCTTCCAAGTTGCTCTCAAGCTATCCAAAAACCAAATGCAGAACAATTTCAGCAGGCACTCTCATAACTTGCACTCAAAGCAAACAAGGTTACAGAGGGGAAAGACCTCTACAAACACTGCTAGCAGTCTGAAATAAGGAAACCCAAGTGCAGCAATTCCTCCAAGTTTCTCACAGATCTAATCTGATGCAGGGGCTCCTCTACCATGGTCTGAGCAGAACTGTCTTGAAGGATCTCTGGAGACGTAGATATGCAAGACTGATGCAGAAATGGGCTGAGGCAGATACTGAGACTCTCTGGGACCCTAAATATGCACAGCTGAGCTTGCTAGGAGCACCATTACATGGAGAACAGGCTTATAGCACAAAGCCTAACTGCTGCACTGGACATCTCTCTGAGCCCGATCCTCTTATGAGGAGGTGGTGTGACACTTCTTTACCCTGACCTCAGGTTCCCCAGGCTGCCAACACCAGCCGCATTCTCTACAACTCCCAGGAACAAAAATAACCCCTCATGACAAAACAACCCCTCAGGCAACCCTGTGGCCAGACTGCCCATCCTATCCTCCTCATCGTATGAGAGGCCTCGCACGTGCTCATAGGCTGGCCTGATCTCACAGTGTTTCTGCAGAGGGTGTTTACTACCAGCAAGATGTCACCACCTGTATCACTGTCCTACTTTGTCAGCGATGCAAATCCAGGTGCTTTCTCAAGTGCCTGACAGCACCCAACTAACATGTCTAGTTCTTTTCTGAGAGCTTTGCCCAAGACAATATGGATAAAGACGGGTTTTTTTTCTGCTGGTTTGCTCTCCTCACAAACAGCATTTTTTCTGAGGCATTTCTCCTCTGTACTGCCAAGCTGTTTTTTGGGCTGGGGCTCTGGATTCTTACTTTAACTATGATAGAGCTCTCCTGCCACACTGGTACACTATTACTTACAGAATACTGGTCCCTTCACTTCCATGGTTTTCTTCCAGAAGGTCAAGAATGTCCTCAGCAAAGTACCAATTGAACATTTCTATAGTGATCTTGGAAAGCTGACTGAAACAAAGGAATAGCCATATACTCACACCCTTCCCAAAATGGGGGAAACTACTGAGAAAGGCATTATCATAAGTGCTAGACCCACATGTGGAAGAAACCACTGCTTCCAGAGGAACCATCATGGAAGGGCAGCTCCACAACTCCATAAAGGTGTATGGCATGAGATTTCTAATAAATGGAAGAAATTGGCTGGGGGGGAACACGACACATACAGTGCCTTTTAAAAATATTGTTACAAAAACTAAAATACATGCACATTTAATTGCTTGCTTGGGCAAATTCTTCAGAGAGGTCTGTCAGGAAAGAAAAATGCCTATGCTTTTCTCTCTTGGCAGACAGCTTTCACGAAACACAGAAATGGGGAAAACCACCTATTTTCCCAGTTAATTCTGGCACTCCCCTCCCTCCCTCCCTCTCTTGTGTATGTTATGGGAAGCACATGAAGCTGAAGGCGCCTGTCAGCATTCAAAAGCAGTTACCGTTATACAATACAAAATACTGCACACTAGTAACAAGTGTCAAACTTTTCAACTGCCAACTCCCCATCCCAAGGCATTTTGACTTTATGCAGTGCTTTATTAACAGATTCATCATCTCAAAAGCAGCAAAGAAAGGGTCTGGGAAAGCTACCCAGAAAGCCTTTTATTGTCTGGTACTATAACAAGAGATGAAGCAGTTGCTCACAAAATCCTTTCTTCCCTTACCTGTAAGTAGTCTACACGTCCCAAGGCTGCTAAAAACAAGACCATTCCTGGCTTGAGAATGAAGGTCCGTGGAACAATGGCTTGCATCGGCAAAACCAGCTTTACTTCTTTCTCTGTCAGGAGATTTAAAACCTGCAAAATAAATTGCGCTGCCATAACTCATTCCAAATGTTTCAACGGGGACAATGAAATTAATATTGGTATTACATTGCTAGAGGAAAAAGATCAAGTAGAGCAGTGTGAAGAACGTCTAACAGAACAGTTCAATTCTGGTCCACACAGTAAGTGAGAAACAGGAGGCAGGGATGTCACCAGTCTCCATGGCAATGCAGAGTCCACAGCAAAGTAAAACAGCTGGCAGGAGCCTGTTGGACCATGGACTCATGAATCATGTGTCTGGCTGGAACAAGCTCACACAAGATTTACTGTGCTTTAGCATAAGTGCAGCCATGTGCAGAACCAGAGAGCACCTTTGGCTATAACATTTGAGTTATTCCACTTAGGTAGTGACACAAAGTGCCGAATCAATACTAGCGGCAAAGCTAGTCTCAAATATCTCACTGAAAGAAAAGCACTTGATCAGACTGTGAAACAACTAAAACGGAAGGATGACCAGCCTGCTCCACAGTGTGGATCCCTACCCTGGGCACCGTGGAACAGGCTCTCCCATCTACGAGGGCTTCCAAATGCTCCTGCTGCTTGTATTCCTCTCCTCCCTCTTCCCTTCCATCTCCTGGCTTAGCTGGCTCATCTGTTTAGGTGCTAACTTCTTTCAGTAAAATGGTCCACCCCAAAGTCTACCGAAAAGCCAGCAACTTAACCAGCAGTGCTGCAGCCACAGCAGTCTGATCGCTTCCTAAAGAAGCACTGTTCAAACCCAGCTATGAAACAATGTGCAGGCACAGAAGTGGAAGAAGCAGTGCCTTGAAGGAAACAACTAGTTGCCAGGTTGATGGCGTCTCTTTGCTAAACACAGGGAGGGAACTGACAGCGGAAATGCTTCCAACTGTGCCCCATGCATGCCACAGTCATGCAAATACAAGTTTCTAGCAGTCTGGCCGTGAGGATTAACCTCAATTCAGCATTAAAAGACCAAACTAACAAGGGTTGTGGTGCAGCCAGAACCCTGAATGCTCTTCGTATGTTCACAAGCAGACAACCTTTAGCCTGAAGGTCAGGGCAGCCTTCAACACTGGTTCTAAAAGACCAGGAGGCTTTGCCCTGCTAGCTGTACATTTTCTGATGTGTTTGGCAATGCTTAAACCAAAATCTGAGAGTCATCAGTAATCCTTTTCTATGCTTTCCAGAAGTTTGGCTTTGGAACGAGTCATGAGGAAGCAGCTGAAAACAAACCTCGAAGGAGTAAGGACAAAAACGTAATTCCATCCTATGCTAACAGCCACTTTCCCTTCCTCCTCTTCCAAAATAAAACAAAAAACAAACCTGCTCATAACTAGAAATCTCCCCTGCCAAAATCTGTCACGTAGACCATCTGCTTGTCCTCCAGCCAGATCTAACACTGACCGCAGAAACAAAATTTGATCTGAAACTTGGCATGTAGCTCTCCAAAGGCACAGCAATGATAATCAAAATCAGAAATGGCAGCAAGTATTTCTGGATGCAGGAAAGCTCACTTCCTTTCCACACTTACTCAACTCCAGAAGACAGGAAGAACATATCCAATCTCCAGTTACCAAACCAGGTCTCTAAGCTGATGACTGTCTTTAAACCAGACACTAACCAGCTATCAGAGAGCAAAGAGCCACAGTAGAGTGGGTTACGATCTGGCAAACATATCTGCTACAAAACCAGTAGCGCTCATGAAAGCAGCACCTGCACTTGAGCTGTGCAGTCTCAGTACAGTTCTTCTGTGTGTGCTGAAGGAAGCACTTCCTTCTCTTCAGAACTTTCCTATCTCCTTGTACTTTTTCATCTTCCCAAAGAGATGACCTGCAGCTCTGCATAGATATCAAAGTGATAAAAAATCAAAACACGACTTTTTTTGGACACGTGCACGACATCAGCACTGGCTTCAGAGCCATTGCTCTACTGAAACACTGAAGTCAGCCTGAGGTATTGGAGCTGTTAACAGGAACACTGCAGATCCTGCCAGCTACAGGAGAAAGCTTTCTCAAAGATTTGGTTCAGTCACACAACACTTGTTATCCTAAGCTCCACCTTTTTCAGTATACTGGCAGACCTAAAAACGTGCAAACTTCTTTGGGTGAAAAAATTGCTTATAGCACTATTGCTTACTTCCCTTCATTCAGATGCTAAGGAAGTTTGCTGACACAGTCATACAGTTCCTTCACAAACATCACAGTATGCACTGTTCAGAAATGCAACAGTGTTAACACAACGAACCCTTCCCAAGTAAACACAAATCATATTTTAACACAATGGCCCAAACCAAAAGAATGCTAACCTCAGGACTGCAGCAGAAATACTCTCCCACATGCACAGCTAAGGCACAACAGTCGTCCCAAACCTTGACCTCCTGAAACACAGCATCACAGAATACCTACACAGTTTTCCTTTACAATCCCTGGAGTGTCAAAACACCAGCGAGCATCCTTCACTTCGTTGTGTGTGAACTCTTCCTTTTCCTCACGCTTCCTAGGGGAATGTCTGGGATCTTCATCTATGCTGTACGAGAGCATGTCAGGGTCAAAGTCAATTACAGAGCTAGGCTTCTGCCGTTGAAATGTTCTTCCAACTCTGCCTGGATTGAAATGAAAGGTTTCCTGGTAATTAATTTATTAACTTGCCTCTCCTTCAATTGGACATCTGTCCCTTCCCTTGCTTAAAAGGGATGCACATTAGTAATATAAAGGTGATAAAGGTGCTATGTGGCTAGAAATTTGCATGTTCAAAAGCCAAGATGCTAAGAAATTCCTTCTATCATTCTTGCTTAGCACTCCTCAAGCCCCAAAACCTTAGCAGGGACCAGATCAGATACCCTATTATTTCCGTTTTGCAGTAAAGCAGGCTGCATTCTTTTTTCCATGTCTTAAGACTGTCAAACACAAAACTATTGGAAAATCAGAGCTATCTTCTGGCAATCCCCTCTTTTGGATACATACTAAAATGATGCACAACCCCTGTGGCCTGCAGCAAAAATGTGAGTATTTAAAAATGAAACTCGTTTTCTTCCTTTGGGAATGAGAGATAGCCTATATTGCGATATCATTGTAAGCTACCTGAACTAGGTTAGCAAATGCCTGGCTGATGGGAGGTGCACTGCACAGAGGAAACCTCTGCGATGCTACTACAACAGCTGAAAAACAAGTACTCAAAAGAAACACTGATGATGCTACTTACAGAAGAGCTAGAGGTCTTGCAGCCACTACTCAGGGAACAAGAACTGGCCCAAATAACCTGAATGCAAGCTTGGAAATTTTTTATTGCTACTACAAATAGCATGTTCTCCCACAATTAAATGGAACTGAGTTCTTTCAGAGTGGGAAGAAATTACTTGCAAAACCATCTGGATTCTACAGCAAATTAAGGAGTTAACAGTCCTTTGTATAATGCAGTATTTTCACTGGGGCAGAGGAGCAATACCTTTACTCAAGCAATACTCACCCACTAAGTAACCTTGCTTTTTAAGGTGATTAAGGTACTTTTTTTCTTCATTGCTTAGCTGATCTTCTGTTTTTGTTGCCTCTTCTTTCAGCCTCTCCTGCCTTCGAAATATCCTGTCACATGTAGGATTAATAATTGGAAATTTCAACAGGTTCAGTGTTGTTCCTGGAAAAAAACAGAAGGCACGTTTGGGTCTCTGACAACCTGGCACATTTAAGCTCTGAGGAGCAAGAAAAAAAAAAGTGCTTCTCCAACTTTTGGGTGAAATCCAGTAACACAAAGTTGGAGGTGGAACTACAGCTGCTCCCATAAAGTACTAGCCTCCCCAGCCAGGGTGGCGGAAACGAGGCATCCATCCGCTTGAGATCTGCTCTCCCTATGGTTTGATGAAACAGGTCTCAAAGCCAGGCGGTGCCACGACTGACTTAATATACCCCAGGCAAATCCCACCTCCAGGCAGCTTGGTTTGGCCTATGATTATTTTACAGGTGTTCACCAGTCCACCTCCAGGTCTCTCTCTAGACTGGAGGGCACCCCTAATTGACAGGGAGATGGCAAGACATGCAGATTCGCTACCGTCCCCACTGACAGAGGAGCACGTTGGCCAGCTCCAGTTTACCAGCCCCCTTACTGCTACGAGACACAGAGCACCCTCTGCGCATGACTCCCACCCTTGCCACCCTGAGGAAGGCGACGATTCGAAGCACGGCGCAGCACCAGAGCTCGCTGCCCACAACGGCGATGCTTTGGAGTGGCAGGCACCCGTTCGGTGACAGCTCCCCTTGCCCCAGGGGCGGCCGAGGGAAGCCTTGCAGGCGGCCCAGGACTAGCTGGCCTCTAAGTGCCCGACACCACGATGGGA